CTATATACATACACACATCAGTAACATAGTTACTGAATGGTAACTCCTGTTTTTTAACTTCAACATATTGAAACATGGCTTGTAAGGCCTCTATATGAGCACCTCTTACTCTCGTTAAAAATAAAATCTAATGTTAAATATTTCACTAAAAGGTTCCTGTGAAAAAAAGTTACTATTTAGGGCTATTATGGGCTAATTGGTTTATTTTATATGTGCGGTATAAAAAAACGTCTCAGCTAAGCATGCATTGTACAAAATATATAGTAACTACATAAAAACACCCATTCTTCAGTTAAAAAAGTATATCTTCATATCACATAATTTTTCTACTGAACTAGAAACGAAACAGATAACAACAAAATATCTATATTAAAACTAAAACTACTAAACGCATGCTAATAATTGACCAAACCTAAAGGAACAGACATTTTTAAATCTAAGATCCAAAAAAGAGATCATTGCTCAGTCATAAAATGAGCACCTCTGTTGGGCTTTAATGTTATCATTGCAGACTGGGGGTGGATGAAAAGAAACCAGTCCTCCCAGTAACATCTACCATTGCGGAGCCACTGTGCTCTTATTCTGCAGCTTACTAACTACAGCCTCACACTTGCACAACCTCGTGCACTATTTGGCAAGGGCACAGAAACGAAAAAGAGATAATGGTCAATGGAGAAATATAAAGGGACAAACACAATCTGTTTCTGCACTAGATGGAGATGAATGGGGCATAATCCATTGCCTTCCATCACACCTACCCAGCCTGCACCATGGCTGCTCCCTGCTTAACCGCAATGATGATTAATTCTACACCCACTATTTATATTTCCTAATTGTAAATTAGCACGAATTATCAATTACGGTTAGTGCCTAATTGCCCTTCATAAAGACAGCTCCCCAGGTTTAAACGGGTCCATTTAAATAATGTAACTAATAGCTCTTGCCTTTACGTTGCGGATACATCTTCATTGTTCCACGCGTGAACCGTGATGGTTGCTCGTAATTTAACAGGGCAATCGAGAGAAGGAGTGCAGGTGGCACTGCGGGACTAATTATTGTTAATGAATTATGATGTGACCTTCTCAGAACAATGGCTAATCAATGCTCACGTTGAGTGACAGTGCGCTCTGTGCAGATGCCGGAGACCACAGAGCCATTACTAGCAGGGCCTCAGTCCTTTGGAAAACAGGCAGCTGCAGCAGTTTTCTCTTGGTTTCTCACAATATGTACACCACAACAATCACCTCCCTGTGGCTGATATTGTTGTTTTTTTTTCTGTGGAGAAGACAGGCTGGCCAAAATATCTGTGTCGTCTTATTTACAGACAAAACAATCTGAAGCTATAGGCAGGGCATTAGCCCAGGAGCTTTAACTACACAGTGCTTATACCCTGGGAAGACAAAATGCTGATTGTTTTGTAGTCTTTCACTAAGAATAATCCGTGCTATTAGTATTTAATGGTCTTTATCATTTTAACTAAGCCCCCAGTTTACGGAATGGAAATGAGATCAAATGCTCTGATCCTTGGTCCATCACCCACAGCTATCTCACAACTGAGGATCGTGATTTTCATTGATTTCTGGACCCATGTATACCTGCAAAGCCATGTGAATGCCTGGGGAAACTAATGCATATTGTGTGTGTCATTAATAGGACAGGATGCAGGACAAATCACTGTGTTCCTTTTTTGCAGACACAATAATGACATGGAAACCGAAAATGACTAAAGCTCTGCACTCCACGTCTCCTCTGATGCACACAACACAACACAAGACAGAATTTTAAGTTTGCAGAAGTACATGCAGCTTTAAAGAGGGTTTTCACATGAAGACAAATTGGAACAAGGCTCGGAGAGATGCAAACTTTGTACTAAACATCTCCGGTCAGTATGTGGTAGAAAGTTTGTGTACTTTACCGACACGACCACACTATGCTGGTTGTTAGTTGACAGCTCAACGTTTGAACTGACCTTTACCTTGTTGTGACAGGGGCGCTGTATGACTGACAATGTCCCTCAGCATAATTTACCCCCACCCCACATTGCCCTCCATCTCCTCTGTGATGCAGTTGACCCCTTTACAAATCACCCCCAACTTTACACATCTGCTGCCTGTCAGCATCTGCCAGGCGCACTCACCCGTCCCGCCCATAATGAAAAACTCTCATTACTCGCCTCCACCCAACAGGTATACAGGCCGTTAGGACAATTACTGGGCAATGCCACTGACCTTGTTGTCAGAGAGAGTCAAACAAACACAGAGGTCTAACTGAAAGGATGCCTGGCAGCAAAAAGCCCGTAGGCATGCAGTGCAGACAGGAGACTTGGCAAAATGAGGGAAGCTTTATGCCCGTTAAGAAAGATTGTACTGTATTGATCTACAGCTGCACTGGCACACATCAGTGCCAACTGCCTCTGAGTGCAGAGTAGAAACCCAGGTAGTAGCACAGAAGTAGTGTTAAACAACCAAACTGGAGGTTTTGTGTGTTGTAGAACATTAACAACAAGTGCAGGTTGTAAATAAAAAAAATATTTTGTGTGCCTATTGAGTATTGTATCAAAGGTTATAATTCTGGTATTGTTACAACCTTAGTCAGCACAGTGGAAATCAACTCGCAGAGACTAAAGCTGTGTAAGATTGTTAATGCAAGAGTTTTCCTTGTCTTTGTATTTTGTCAAAGGCATATTGATCAGTACAAGTGCTGCATGCAAGATTTACATATTAACTGCCAAACACAAGCTGCGTCAGAAAGAAACAAAACAGAAGGGTGAAGTCAAACAAGTTGTAGATCTCTGCAAGTTGATACTCATCCTGAAATGAATGGAGACAGACAGAAAGGTAGAAACTCAGCCTAGTTTTTAGAACAGGCAACCACCAATGGAAAGTGTACAATTACAATTATGAGCCAAAACATAGTAGGTTGTTCACTGTATCTTAGAAACCCCTACAACTACAAAGTTTAGGAATCTGGCACAGAGGATCTAACAGCCTCTCTTAATGGTTCACCGGACACTTGCTGCTCCTTTGTGTGAGTCCCACTTTACAGGGGAGTTGGGGAGACAGTGGAGGACTTTAGAGAAAACAATAGACACTACAGTCTGTGAGTAGAACTGCGGCTTATAATGCCGCTCCAGCCATTAGACAAATTATCTGACGTTTAGCAGACTGGGGGCAGCCTCCCCGTGAGGTGATGACTTTATTGACCCTGTAGGGGGGTCTTGGATGGAAGTGTGTCTCTTTGGCTCCCTGCGGTGTCCGACAGGGAACACTCCTCCTCTCTCAAATCTTGCTTGGGCCCGTGCAGACTCAGAGCTGAGCCAGCTGCTGTTCCCGCTCTCTGAAGTCTACCTGAGGGCCTCTTTGTCCTCGGGGCTCGTCCCTTTGTCCCTCTGACCCACACAAACAGATGTCCAGCCTCTGGGCTTACTCGTAGGAAGTTGTAAACCTCCAGCGTGCAGTGGGCTCTATTCATATGGAGGGACTACAATAATGGCCGTGCAAGTGCCATACACATGCAAATGCAGACATGCAGACACCCTGTAGGGGCGGCTTTAACAAATGTTTGACTATGTAACTACTGCAGACCATGCCAGTCCAACAGACTATGACTAGGTAGCAATGAAACCTCCATGTAGCAGAGTAATCACCCTGACCTGTATAAGTAACACAGGAAATTGTGTAGGGAGGCCTTTAACAGTGTGTAAACATGATCGGATCCCCCATGTCACTTACACGAGACACAACTACAAACAGAGAAAAGGCCCTCATGCCTTCTGTCTGTCTTATCCACACACAATGTAGACCTCACAGACTTAGAGGGTAAAATATGTTAATGTAAAAAAAGCACCACACCACAGCTATCCTTAGAAAAAAGAAATTTTTTACCTCCTATTTGAACTGATTCTAGTTTTATAAAAATGTAAATTATTAATCTGATAAAAAGCAATAACTGACAATGCAAATAGTTTAGCAGGTTCAAGGACCGAGGAGGTAAAGGAAGCATCAAACAAGCCCTCATGTTCTGTTGCAGTTACTGGTTTGGCCTTCCAGTATCCAAAACGACTGTCTGTAGCCATCAGGTTTTATCTGTATTGGACACCTGCTGAGAATATTGATCCTGTGCTGGTTTCACCATTTTAGCCATCACCAGGCATCAAGCTTTAAACAACCCTATGTCACTTCATATTGAATACTAATAGCATAGACTTGGAAGCCGACTGATTGTGAATATAAATCTATCACCTTAGGTGAGAAAACAATCAGTTGTATTCATTGTACACCTGCAATTTAGCTGTGAATGCTTTAAAGAAGCATCTAGAGTAGTGATTTATCCCGGATACTTTTAGTCCTCCTTATTTAGTTCTCTCTAATAAGCAAGTCGAAGTCATTTGGTATCGATTGTTTCAATGCTAGTGCAAACAGATGGGGTATTGACTCTTTTCTCCATATCAAAATGCAGCAAACCTTGCCATTCCAAGGATTATTTTCTGTTATTTAACTGTATGAAAGTTGCTGCTGCGTAGTGCAATGCAGTGCAAATAATATTAGAAATGCTATACTGATATTATTATCATGGTTTCATGAAAACAACAACAACAACAACAATAAATATATAAAATGAACAACAGAGGACGTGCAATTATGAGTAAGTAAAACATCTAATGGATAGAGGGGCCATAAGCACTAGTTGTCTTCATAGCTGTATTTACTGAATTATCTTATAAATGTAGCTCACCGCATCTAAAGTGTTAATGAAAACACCATATCTTCCTAAATAATCATACAATGCTTTTTTATTTCAGTTATTGCACATCTACTAACATCTGTGTTTAACATTTACTGCTGCATTCAATATTGACGCCGTAAAAATGGAGAGTGTAATTCCAATGCGTTTATATTTTTACATCTTAATATAAAAAGTTTTTATTTGTACTAATAGGAATCGTTATGATGCAACATTCCCATGAACAGCCAGCAGTCAATAGGCAGAAACCGTTTGGTTTTGATTAAGAGAAAGTTTTTCTTCAGCTCAAGGGACACGAATATTCCCTTCTTGATAGTAACGCTTCTAAAAGAGTCCAATTTGGGGAGACGGGGCGATCTCTGATATGGATCAAGTGCCATCTGTGCCCAATTTACTCTCGGGTCGTGGATTATTGAATTGAATGATATGGGTGATTATCGACAAATGCTTTGAGCGCATTAGGTGGTCGTGTGAAACACTAATAGTGTTTGTGTCACGTGTCTGGCTGAGAGACTACTGGGGGGACAGACGCTTTAAAGACCGCGCTCCGGTCATCTCATTCACGCTGCAAGACTGATAGACAGAAGCAGAGGAGTCCAAACTCCGAGGGATCATCACCACTGATCCGGTCTGATGAAGCTCGAAGACAAGAAGTAGGCTAAACTATGAGAAGTTCCTCTCCACACGCGTAATTACGCACGTCAGCCCTTTCCCCTTATTTAAAGGTGTTTCTCGATAAAGGATGCTGGACCCCAAGGACTGTGGAGTGACAATGACGTCCAGCCATAAGATTTCCTTTTCTATAATTGATATATTGGATCCGAAGAAATTCAACAGCAAAAGGGTAAATGAACTTTCGATCATCGCGGAGAAGTTTCCTGTGCCAAATGCAGAGGGAACAAGTCTGGACTCGGACAGCACCGCAGGCGGAGACTTCAGAGTTGAGCGCACGGAATCAGGTAGAGAAAACAGACAATTTTAGAATATGATTCAGCCTGTGGATTAAACGTTTACGTGTCACTATTTAGCATCATTATTATGATGATTATCATTATTTTTTATTGCATATACCAATTATTTCGAAACATCCAGACTTAAATAAATGCGTATGCATACATTTTCATATCTTAACATTATAAACTAAGAGCGCATGAATAAAATAAACAATCTAAATTGTGAAATCTCACCACAAAACCTTTGTAGCTCCAGGCTACACACCAGCAAGTGAGACGCTATTTTCTATCAGATTTATTGTCATCTCTGTATGACCTTCCCTTAATTTCCAAGGCTGCGTTTCCTTTCAAGGAAGCCACAAAGGCTTGCTCCCAGAGCCCCAGCGTGTGATTGGCACTGGGACAGGCAGGCTAGATAATTGTTTAAATCGTCCCATTGAGGATGCCTCTGCGCGCTTTGATCGATATCCCATTACTGCATCCTGCATATCTCCCTCTAGCACCTTGCAGGTACAAACTTCACACCCCATCCATGTCTGATCCTAAATATCGTTCGATTAAAACTTCCCTTTAAATAGATGACATTTATCGACCCACCCGCAAATATGAAACTCCATTAGCACGTCATGGCTGAGGTGGCGGAGCTGGATTTAGACGGGATTTCTTTCCGCAACATGACATTTGAGGCGCTGTGTGGTTTATAAATTATTTAAGGATTAGTGACCAAGTCTCCCCCTCCTCTGACTCTATGCTCCAGCGACCTACGGATCCTAATCAAACACTTTACAGATGTCAACTTTAGGCCTTCTGTGTTTGGTATTTAAACTGCAGTTCAAAAAGGAACATCACTGCACAATGAAGGAAAAACTCTCTTACCTTTTGATATTTGACACATGACTTCTGTCTTGTCAGGAGCTGTCCTTTCAGCACCACGACCAATTTAGTCCATTTATCAAGCTGTTAGGCTTTTTGGCCTATTACTCAAAACACAGACATCAAAAGGTCCAATCAAATATTAGATATCTCTTCAAAAATGTAGTTTTGGAAATTGCTGTGAAAATTCAGTCAACTAATCAGTTACATTTTTAAAAACCATCAGGGAAGCCAAACCTTGATGTTCAGCTGCTTTAGATATGGGTGGATGAGGCCTACAGTTTCAATGTTTTACTGAAAAATAATTAATATGACTCTAATATGACAATTCCTTATATTATCCGTTAAATGCTGCAGAGGTTTACAGGATGTGAGCTCACTCTTCTTCTTCATTCACAGGGGAGGAGACAGGATATGAACCCTCCGCAGCCTCCAGGCATCATGCAGTTGATACAGACCCTCTTCTGCTCTCCCCTCCGGCTGAAACAGAGCCCTGTCTCACAGGAGAGCAGGACGATGGAGAGTCAGATTCCCTGCAGGACCCATCACCGCACAAGCGGCGGCGCCCAGAGCAGGCCTGTGCCAAACCACGGCGCGCCAGAACAGCATTCACTTACGAGCAACTGGTAGCTCTGGAAAACAAGTTCCGCACAACTCGGTATCTGTCCGTGTGCGAGAGACTAAACCTGGCCCTGTCCTTGAGTCTGACCGAAACCCAGGTGAAAATTTGGTTCCAGAACAGGAGGACCAAATGGAAAAAGCAGAACCCCGGGGCGGACAGCACCTTGCAGCCCGGCTCCAACTCCCTGGTCAATGTCAGTCCAAACCCACCCACGTGTGGGTCAAGCCCTGCCAGCTTCCACCAAACTTTCCCCAACTTCACCTCTGGGAATGTGATCTTTCACACGGCCGGTGCTGTTCCGCTTTCATCCACTGGAGGGCTCTTGCATCCCTTCATGTCCAGTGGTTTCGTCCAGCCGACTTATTTTAATCCACATCTATAAAAGAACCCAAGACTGATATGACAAATCTTTACGGGAACAAAAAAGCAACTGAACATTAAGCCTACTGCCCAGAATCATTGTAACTGTTGCATTGATGCCATATCATGTTCTACAAACTGACGGGAAAAGGAGGCACCTGTCAGGTACCATTACCATTTTTCCCTACTGGGGTACCTTTAAAGAAGTTGAAAGCTTCCTTATAAACCTCCAAATAAGCTGTTGACTGTCTTTAATCTTTTGTCATGGACTTTTTCCAAAACTTGAACATCATAACAAAAGGCCAAATAAGTGATCTGTGACTGAGCCAAACATTAGTGCTCCTTTATAGCTCTGTTAAAAGACTGCACCACTATGCACTCATTGTCTGTCCTTTGTCTGTTTGCTGAAACACCTGCTCACACTGTGTATTTGACAGCTCATACAGTATCATTTTCTGCATCTCTGCATTGTCTTTGTCTCAAACTGTGGCATATTGCAACCATCCAATACCCAGCTGTGTTTCTACCTCTCCCGGGCTTGCACAGCTTACGTCTGCTGCCATTTATACAGCATTATCAGTGTAACTTAATTAAAAAAAACATAAAACATCTGTGCGTGGCTCATGTATTACAAAGTAAAAACATTTCAAATGAGAATGAATTGCGGGACATTTAAATGTTGCATCAGTAATAGGTTTGTAATCGTGGTAGATCATTTTCTTGTCAAAGGGCCCATTGAACTTGCATCTCCTGCGCAACAAGGCTGAGATTCTACCAAGAATTAGTGCAAGAGGGATCTTAATGACCAGAGACGGAAGCCTATATGAGAGGAAGTCTAATATCTAAGCCTAACATAAAAACGAGACCTTCAACTAAACATTATTTCATTTTAGAACAGTACCATATTTGTTCTACACACTGGCAAAGTACAATTCCTCAAGTACTACTTGGTATATGTATTGTACATTTTTATACACTATATTTATATGACAGCTGAAGTTACTTTGCAGATACACAATATATAAAAGTTGATGATGATTTGATAATATTCTGCATCATTATTGTCTTAACTACCCAACATTATATAAATCCAAGTTAATGTATTCAGTATAATAATCCTGTAATATACAGGCACCAATTTGTTTTATTTTCAAATGTATATATTTTAGAGAGAATGACACCAATTTCTTACAAGAAACTATTTCAATAGGTTTATAAGCAGCAACCAACAGCTTTATTAAAGGATAATAAGTCAATTACAACTGTTTTATAGATCCCAGCAAATACTTTTGGCTTGCCAGATTGTAGAAAATCCTCTTCCAGCTGGAAATTTACTGTGTCTTTTAGCTAGCTCTTAAACCTACAACAACTGATTTTTTAGGGCCACTTGGGGGCAGTGGAAACAAGTTGTGAACACAACAATGACCTTATTATCACCTTTTAAGCTGTTATGGTGAACTTGTTGGCAAACAGTGGCACATCCAGTTACGGAGCAACATTAACTTTCACTTGGAGTCATGTTTATGGCCACCTGAGAAAGGTAAGTCAAATATTCACTCTTTTTTTAGCTCTGTTTACCAATCTCTGAGGTACATATGTGTTGATTTAGCTGCTAAATGCTTGACTGTGTTCATCAGCTAGATAACTATCCGTATCTTTGAGGTTTGAGATCTGAGTGATGATTCTCTGTAGGTTCATCACTACAAGCTTTAACACGGTCACATATTTTATTATTGTCATTCGATACATTGTTATTGTAAAAATATCGGTTCTAGCTGACTACTTACTGCAGCATCTGGACCAAAATCTATAGATTTAATAACAACTAATAAACATTATTAATAGGTTGATTAGAGATTATATTAAAACGGCTCATTTTAAGGTAACCAAACACCACAATTCTTATTATCAGATACACTAATGAAAACATACCTATGATTATTATATTAAATGTCTGCCAATAGATCCTCCACAATCTCCATAAAACAACTTAACAACTCATTAATGGCATATAACTGATCTATAAAGCAATAGTAATAATAAAGCCATTAGTTACATTTTACAAACCCTTAAGTTCCTTATTAGAAAGTGGTACCAATATATGAATAATATAAATGGGCTGTTGAGTAAGGAGCTACATTTTAATACTGAAGTACATTTATACTAATATAGTAATACTAATACTCATGTAGTTTTACTTAAGTAAGTCACTTTTAAATGAAGGACTAACTGCTGCTTATAGTGAGTCTATTACCTTCACTTACATTATACAACCACACAGTGTCACCATTCCCTTTCTTTTTGTCTTTCTTTCTACATAATCTCAGTTTATATGCAGACAGACAGTAGTGGAAGAAAAAAAAAATCATCATCAGTGTCAACAGTTTATTTAGTCACTACTACTAGTCATTTTCAAAGAATTTAAACATACTGCGTATCTGGTTTTAAATAACTTTTTAAAATATATTTTTGGGGGCTTTTATTGCCTTTAAATTAAGTGACAGCTGGCAGACAACATTGGACAAAGAGAGGTTGACAAGGACCACAAATCGGAGTCTGAAGTATGTACATTATAATACAATACATAGAAGATATGTATACGTATGCTACAGAATATGACAGAAGTGTAATGAATAATGAATAATAAGCTAAATCTTGTTGGTGACAGAATAAAGCAGAATATTGCACATTAACCAAAGACCAGACTTTTTTTGGTACATATATATACATTCTGTTATATAGCAATCTGTCATATTGGTCTTGTGAGTTTTATGAACCTTAATTGATTTTCATATTCACATTGACTGTAATTCACTGAGGCTCTTTTCTAGTGAAATAAACTTATATATGAGGCATTCACTCATTCCTGCTCTGGTAATAATGTGTGAATAAAACACAGTAAATGAAGGATAAGTTGCAAATTTGTCGAGGAGCATTTTCAGGGGGGAATGTATGCACATATTTACAGAGAGGGAAATTAGAAAAATTGAGCTATGCAACCACAGTTAATTGCATACCCCCTGCTAATTCTGGCACTACTGGCGTAATCGGTGTATGATTCTAGGAAGTACACTCTTCTGTTACACTTAATTTACATCTGTTTCTGCCTCGATGTTTAGTAGATGTGTATGACTGATGTAATGTATCACCCACTGAGCTCAGAGAAGCCAGCCAGCAGAACAGGGCAGACAGAAGAAAGATTTGGTATAACAGCTATAGGTAGCCAGGATGATCAGTGCAGAGGATTGGGATGGGAGAGCTTCAAACCCAGTGTCAAGCCAGTGTCATTAGTTGAGATCTTTCAAGAGTGTGTTGTGCTTTCACTACTTTGATCTACAATACACTGGTTGAATAAGCGGCTTCTGTCTATATCTGCAGACAGTGAGAGTGCTGCAGGGGGAAGAGACAGGAGGAGAGCAGACAGAGAATTTCTGGTAGGTAATTTTCTCCTGACATCAGTTTGACGGTTAGAGGGCTGACAAGCATCCTTCAATTAGATGGAATTTTCTCACTGCTGTCAAAACCTGGCCAATGTCAACTTGTCGCTGAAATTCTGGTGTTTGTGTAGCTACAATTTTAGTTTTTCTATGTCTTTCTTTCCCCCTCTTTCACATATGCATTCCTTTGCATTTCTTACAGATATGCACAACACACATTAATAAAATTTTGGTATTCCATCTAGTTTTGTTTGTTCTGAGTGATGCATATGAATGCCCCCCTGTGATACTTTTCATTCCAACAAGGCCTGGCATGCAGCCGAAGAATTTGACAGTTTTGATCAATACTCTTGAAAATTCGGCATAAGGAACCTATTCCATATTTTGGCTTGCGGCAACTGTTATACGACAATGTGATGAATAATTTTGCAAGGCATCTGAGGGGGGGTCATTTAGGTCTGGGCGAAGAGGGCGCTTGTTTAAAATTCATGCTGGAGAATGCTCTGGGACAAGGTCAGATGTTAATAGTAACAGTGCTTTCATGTCTACGTGTGTGTGTGTGTGTGTGTGTGTGTGTGTGTGTGTGTGTGTGTGTGTGTGTGTGTGTGTGTGCATGTGTGTGTGCGGTATGGGGAGAAAATTCCATCTACAGCCTATGTTCGCTGTACTTAACTGCTGCAGAGAAACGAGTAGGAGGCTTGAATAAATAAATGGAGCTGAGGATTTCCTGGTATGTGTGTGTGTGTGTGTGTGTGTGTGTGTGTGTGTGTGTGTGTCTGTGCTATCTTCAGCTGTGGTGATCCACAGGGACTGACGTCGTTTCCACTGAGGTTCACAGGTCAGATGGGAAGAGCGGGTGGTGGGTTGGGAGGTGAAAAAAGAAAGAAGAAGAGAGGTTTCCAGGTAGATCATTGTGTGAGTGTTTTATAAAGATACAACCATGTGTACTCACTGACAACAGCCAGTTTCTTATTCCTTCTAATAATTTATGAAAACGTTTTATCTATCTTGATATGTTATTTATGATTACTCACTTATATTAGACATCAATTAGCACTTAGTCCTTGACTCAGCTTGATGAAAATAGGCTTTCATGCTGATTTAATCCTAGAAAGGTCAAGTGCCTGATTGGTTGCTCATTTAAATTTTATATCTAAACCATCCTAAACCTGCATTAACACTGACACATAATTGCCTTGTGAAGGTGGTATGGTGACCTATTTATACATTCAGCAAATATGGAGCAACATTGGTGCTTATTTTGAGTCATATTCCGATATACTCTTCTTTTAGCTTTATTTTTGGTCTCCACCCACTCCTGAGACTCCTGTTTAGCAGCCTTAATGTTCCAGTACATTCACCAACTAGTTGATAACCTCGTCTGTCGTTTGTTCCTGGGCAGGAAGCAAGACTTTTCATTGAAAACAATTGCTTTCTGAAAATGACGCAGAGGAGAGTGCTGAGACTGAGATGAGGGTGTGGTCTGTAAAACAAAAACAATGAGCTGAAAAATGCTAAAATGCTTCATGGAGCTGAGGGAACAATCAGAGAACAGCAGGTAGAACTACAATTAAAATAACAGTGAAATTTTATTGTTGACCTTAAGAACTGGGTCCAAAATGAACAAAACCCCACAACAAATAATAAATAACTCCATTAGCTTTATCCGGGTCTGTCAAACCTTCCAAATCTTCCTCTGCAGGTGGACTGAGTTGTCATGGAAACAGTTATTTTGTCATCATGACCTTGACAATAACAACTGAGCAAACTCCATCGACTGAGGAAGACTGCAAGATGTTATTAAAAGCACAGTAAAAAGCTTTTAGGTGGATCTTGACTTAAGAATAGAATTTTTGTCAAAACACATTTATATCCCTCTCACTTTAATTTATAAAATCCAAAGTAAGGATTTTATTGTTCAATCAAAACAAATCAAAACATAAAAACTCTTACAATCTAAAAACAGCACATAACAAGTGATCCAATTGCAAGTGCAACATTTTAACCATGTATCGGTCTTATATCCAGAGCATCTTTGTGCTAGTGGTGGCAGTGAGGATCCAAGTTGGTTTATTTATAAGCCACAATGGCAGCAGTTCAGATATTTGCACCTACACACACACACACACACACACACACACACACACACACACACACACACAATGCTACTGC